TTTTTAGTTTGATTTTATTCAAAAATGGCCACAATTTATCGTTATTCAATAACAGGTCCCTTTTTTATGTAGAAACCCTTAATTTTCAAATTGAATTTCCAAAAAAGAATCACACAAGAATTTTGTGGCTAAAATAACCTGAGTAAGTCCCTTATACATACGCTTCCAAACAAAACTGTCTAAAATTGTTAATATTTTTAAATCCAGCCATAAAAAACTAGGCTAGAATACCAATTTTATGTCTTTATCTCAACACGTTTCGGAAACTATCAAGGAAAAACCATCTTCAGGGAAGCCCCTTTAAAAGACCGTAGCGATCTTAGGGGACATTTTGTCGACCTATGTTTATATAAACCTTTCTTCCTATTTTAAGCTCTAGAATCCGCTGGTAGAATATTGCACACTTTTTCGGGACACCATGTATATATATTATATATATGACAAGTGTATATATTGTATATATATATACTTCGAAGTTGAGTCATTATTTTAACAGTGAGTAGATCTGATCAAAAGAAATGTTTTTTTCCTTTACCGTTTTTCTGTTAAAATTAAAGTAACAAAGTTATAGCCCTTTGGAAGTTTGAGTACCGCCCTGTCTCAATAACAATATCATGTACTCGTGTTTGGCAACAACGGATATAATCACACCTTATCGATTCATCGCAATGGGAAACAAAAAAGCGAAAGAATTTGGAACGATGTTTATTCATTCAGTTCAGTTATACATACAGTCAGTGTCAGTCGCGTGTGAATAGTGTCTGTTGCGTGGCTCAAACGAAATAAAAAAGGGCACATGTTCATGCGGATCGGTTCCAATCGAGTGCAACCAACCCCTCGTGCCTTTGTTAATGTAGTACAACGGGCTCGTGAATCAGGTGACTTAAGACCTCACAGGGCACCTCACGATCAAATACAGGTCCGCACTGAATACTTGTTGGAGGATACTTTATAAAACAAGGTAAACATCAACTTCAAAGTCACCCTGTATATACAGGGTGTCCCGAAAAAAGTGTGCAATATTCTACCAGCGGATTCTAGAGCTTAAATAGGAAGAAAGGTTTATATAAACATAGGTCGACAACGTCCCCTAAGGGCGCTACGGGCTTTTAAAGGGGCTCCCCTGAAGATGGCTTTTCCTTAATATTCCGAAACGCGTTGAGATAAAGACATAAAATTTGGTATTCTAGCCTAGTTTTTTTATGATGGATTAACAATAATAACAATTTTGGACAGTTTTGTTTGGAAGCGTATGTAACAGGGACGGACTCAGGTTATTTTAGCCCCAAAATTTTTGTGTGATTCTATTTTTGACATCAATTTTAGAATTTGAAAATTTAGGATTTTCTACATAACAAGAGGTACTCTAATGGATATCGATAAATTATGCCATTTTGAATAAAATCAAAATAAAAATGTCACATGATAGGAAATGTACTACGAATTTAAATGAATTGTTGTTTAATTAGCCACGGCAACGAAAAAACTAATTCAATAATTGGTAAATATTACATAAATACATATTTATTTGCTACATAGCTAACATTTAGGCAAATACAAAAGAAATACATTTTTTCTGCGAACGAAATTGAAATTTGTTTAAAGATGAAGACACAGTTGGATATACTTAAAACTAGCTTTACAGTAAGTGTTCAAATAAATTTCCATTTTGTATACAGAGTCTCACTCGACGAACTAATGATTCGTAGCCCGAAAAGTGGAAAACCTTTTTCTTCTTGTTTCATTTGCAGCCTGATGGATTCTTTGAAGTAAATCTTCTTGAGTATTTACTTCAGTCGAGTAAACTAGGTCTTTTAGTGACCCTCAAAAATAGAAATCCAATGGATTTAGGTCAGGTGAACGTGACGGCCACGCTACTGGACCTCCTCGGCCTAACCACCGGTCTGGAAAATTAACATACAACCAATTTCGAACATTGCGTCCAAAATGTGCAGGGGCGCCATCATGTTGAAAAAACATATTTTCTTGAAACTGCTGGCGCACATCCAATGATATTATATCCATGAGCTCATTCTGAAGAAAGACGATTGGGAAAGTACAATAGGCCCAATTATTGATCCCCAATTACTCCTGCCCATAAGTTCAATGAAAATCTATGTTGGAAATTTATACGGCGAACAACTTTTGGATTTTCATCTGACCAGTGATGCATGTTATTGAAATTAAAAGCACTATTCCTAGTAAATATTGACTCATCCGACCATAATATTCTAGGAATAGTGTTTTCATTTGCTAATATCCACAGGCAAAACTCGATTCGTGGTAAAAAATCTGCCTCCGTTACATGCTGCACCCGTTTAGAATCCTAAGGATGTAATCCTTGTATTCTTGTCATTCTTCCTATCTAAAATTATTGTTTTTAGGATAACTATCAAATAGGCGTTCATAAATTTTTCTTACTATTGATCGAGGTATATCCATAATTTCTGAAACATTTCGTATGCTTATTATATATAGGGAAATTGGCAAAACTTTTAGGCTTTTGACGATAAAATCAAGCTTTCGGCATTCTCTATGGAGCCTTCATCAGGATTCTGAAAACACAATTGTGATGCTAGTACGAATCAATCTTGAATCCAAAAAGGGAACAGGTTGATTATCATCTTCTTTTTTGATGGTGAACTGGATGTAGGGATCATAACTGTTAAAAACCTCAACAATATCATCCACCCTATCATAAGGAAGACAAACGATTATATCGTCCACATACTTTTTATGAAAATTAGATTGTATGGCAATACTTGAATAACAACATCAAGCAGGTCATCGATTACATATTCTGCCAAAAATTGGAGATAAAACAGAGCCCATGGGGCAGCCATGTGTTTGTGAAACACTTTGTTATTAAAGGCAAACACATGGCTGCCCCAGGGGCTCTGTTATATCTCCAATTTTGGCAGAATATGTATGGATGACCTGCTTGATGTTGTTATTCAAGCATTGCCATACAATCTAATTTTCGTAAAAAAGTATGAGGACGATATAATCGTTTGTCTTCCTTATGAGGGTGGATGATATTGTTGAGGTTTTTAACAGTTATGATCCCTACATCCAGTTCACCATCGAAAAAGAAGATGACAATCAATCTGTTCCCTTTTTGGATTCAAGATTGATTCGTAACAATGGCAATATATTATTGGTAGACTGGTACAGGAAACCAATTTCTTCCGGAAAGTTCCTGAACTTCAGGTCTTACCATGAACTTAAAATAAAAATAAACCTGGTGAAACAAATGAAGAACAGGGTTATAAAAATCTCTAACAGTACTTTCCATCTTTCCAATTTAAGGAAGCTTTCAGTCTTATTTATCAACAATGGCTATCCTAGGTATTTGCTTAATAGAATCTTGTTCAGCTCTCCTCCGAATATTTTGCCAATGACTAATAACCAGATACCCTTTAATTCTTCAACTAATGAGAACAACAGCACTACAGAGGTTGCTCCTATTTCCAGAGTTAATTATGTTGTTTTGCCATACATCAAAGAACTAACACCAATGAAACGTGGTGAAACAAATGAAGAACAGGTTTATAAAAATCTCTGACAGTACTTTCCATCTTTCCAATTTAAGGAAGCTTTCAGTCTTATTTCAGCAATGGCTATCCGAAGTATTTGGTTCAGCTCTCCTCCGAATATTTTGCCAATGACGAATAAAATAGTGAAAGTGACAACACTGTTCAGTCCAACCAGACACCCATGAATTCTTCAACCAATGAGAATAACAGCACTACAGTGGTTACTTCTATTTCCCGAGTTATTATGTTGTCTTGCCATACATCAGAGAACT